CCCCAAAACCCCAAAACCCCAAAACCCCAAAACCCCTTATTTTTTAATTAGAATTGGAACGACATATGGAGTTTTATCGCTTCTTACCAGCAAGGGCATTGGTCTTGATTAGTTGTAGACAATCACTTTGCAGACCCTGATGATACCATCTCCTCCTGAGAATAAGAATGCATCAGCATGTTTTGCTACATCAGTGGTGAATATTGATCTTGTGACATCTGAGATACGAGCGACAGGGGTGTAATCTTTATTGAAAACTCTTAGTTCATCACCTTCTCCTCCACCAGCTACCATAAAGCTGTTTATTGAGTCATTATGAGATTTCGTAAGGGAAAAGATCCTGACTGGATCTTCTGTATCAAAATTATCCCCATCCCATTCAATATCAAGTGTTTTCTCTGTTGTTCTGGTGTCCCATTTTTGTAATTGATTATCGTTTCGCCATGATCCAGTGATCACCTCCCAATTTGTGAAATCGATAGCGTCTCCACAGATGTAAGGACCAAGGATTCCTGCAACTGGGCCTTTCTGTCTGATGTCATGAATTATTACCGTGCTATCCCACCCTCCAGATGCTATCATTGTTGGATCTGTTTTATTGAATGCAACACTGAAGATTCTATTGGTATGGCCAGGCTTTTTCGTATAGAACGGATCTAAGGTAACCTTGAGCTTCATTGTCTCATCATCATACACTCTGACGAAATGATCGGTTCCACCAGTGGCAAATGTTTTACCGTCAGATGCATAGTCAAGAGCGAAGAGTCGATTTTCGTCTTCGTCTTCAGGTGTGATTGAGGCAATTTCTTCCTCCTCATTTTTGCTATATCTCCTTATACCACCTTTAATATCTACTGCTATGATGGCATCTGGTTCAGCACCTGGTCTCCACTTTGCAAGAGTGCAGACAGGCTTATTTGGATTCTTCTTCTCCAGGTTCAAGATGACAAACATAGTCGCAGCTATCAGCTTCATGGATCTCAATTGATCCATTAGAGTGAGTGGCAACAATGAATTCATCATTGTCATCAAACTTAGCTCAAAGTCATGGGTAGTCGGTTTGACCTGCGATGCCTTTCTCGTACACTTTGATGTCCGAATCTGGGGCCACAGTGATCGTGAAGTCCTCACTAATTTCCTTCTTGTGGTCTTCGTCTCCAAGTTCAATTATCATATTTAGATTCTAGTGAAATATTATATCATCAACTTTCCAAGGAAATTTGGGGTTTTGGGGTTTTGGGGTTTTGGGGTTTTGGGGTTTCGGGGTTTTGGGG